TAAAACCAGGGGAAAACCCCCGAAAGTAGAAAAGCAAAACCCCCTTACAAAATTTTCACCTTTACCCGTATGTTTCTATCAGCCGGCTTTATATACCCCCAGAAAACATACTCTAATCTCGCCCCAAAGCCCTCTACCCTCACCACCTTCCCTCCCCCCCTCTTTCCCACCTGAGCACGTGAAATGGGCTGAACTCCCTCACTGCCACTGCCAACCCACCCTTTAATTTCCCTAAACTACCAGCATACATCTAAAACCGTTCAGCCTCAACTCTCTGCCACCTTAAAAATTGTGTTCTTGAATAAAACACAAATCAAGTTAAAAAACGCTGTAAAACACCTCCAACCACACTCGTTTAACGTCGGCTCTAAGGCCATTCACGTTTATAGTTAGACACTTAAAGATTCAGAAAGGGTTGGCTTTCCTCTAATGCTCTGTGTCCTGTCTATTACACTTTTTGCTGCCCCTGTCTTTTCCCGTGCACTCTTGCCCGCTTGGACCCCCTCCCCCCCTGTGCACTACCCTGCCCCTTCTTAATCACTCCCGCCCATGTCTTCTTCCCAGAACACTGAGCTGGAGTAATAACCTCATCATCCGACAAAGCCTCCAGCTCTCTTTCTAGATGTTCCCTCAACTCCATGTCAGTATTTCCTCTCTCCCTGTGCACCTCAGCTTCCAACCTGCAACAACTGCAACATGCCAGACTCTGACCCCGGAGGCCCTGGAATCTGCCCAATCGGGGTCCTCCTCAACCATCAGAATTCTCCTGTCTGCAGAGGGGATTCCTCCACTGGCACCTCCAGGAAAGATTTAAAATCATCTCCTGTAGGGGTGCAGATAACTCCTGTAGGTCACCGGCCTCTCCCCCCCCCCACAGGCTGCTGCTCAACACCCGGGTCTGCCTGCAGGGGAGCATCTGAAGCCACGGGTAGCGTCACACAATTCTCTTCCACGCCCTCCACTTCGTCCACCAATTACCTTTGCCTACTCCACTCATACCCTGCGGCAGAGGTGCCACCAGAGACTCTGTGGCTACTTGCAGTTCCAAAGGCCGCGGCACTGCTGCCTTACCACCCCCAGCCCCCATGTGATCAAAAATGTGCCAACACAGGCGACACGTCTTGCGTTTGTCCCACGTAGGTCACATACACCTGTGTCCTAAAATCCCCAGGACAACATTTCAGGGAATAGGTCTTCTCAATCATCTTGACGGTGTAAGATCTGCAGGCCCGCCCTGCATAGATTCCATCCGCCATCGGCCTAAAGTTTTTAGCATGACCTCACCATATCTTTGAAAAGTCTCTCTGATATCCACATCATCTGCTTCAAAAGGAACGTTGCGGATCCGGATCCTCACCCAGGTGTAGTATTTTGAGGCATCCCGCAGACGTACCCAGTCCAGATGAAACGGTGATGCTCTTCTCCTGGTACTGAGTCACCGTCCTTTCATACGCCTCTACTGTGCAGAAAATTTATGAAAGATTTTTTGAAGAACCTTAAGCGATATTCCATGTAGTTCATCATTGTCAATGCCAAACGTGTCCCCTAAATCGTTGGTAATAAAACAGAGGCATTTGACAGATAAATTGTTCCTTTCACAAGGTCAACACACACGGTGTTGCTCCTCCTGCGGTAGCTGGCAGCCATCTTGGTGAAAATAGGAATTTCACAACAGAGAAAGCAGGAGCTTTTGCGCAGCACGTCCACACGGCCCGAAAGCGATGAGGACAATGGTTTTTGTGAATTAAGCCTGAATGCCCTCCCCCCTAAAACACAGGCATTATATAATTCCTATGGGTTCACGTCACCCATAATACTAATAATAATAATGGCTGCCTACAGTAATGGCTGTCTACCCATCTCTCTCATCATGAACGACCCGACCACCTTCAGCCAAGACCCATAGTTCAACTTGATCCCTTTCAGTTTCCATCTCGGATGTGTGACTTGGCCTGCAGGCTATCAGCAGTACCGGACATACCCGTCTTCATCTGTTTCAAGGCAGCCCACATCCTGAAGCCCAACATCTAGCTGAACGACATCCTTCACCATCTGAGTAATTTCCTAAACATAATCCTATGCCGTTATTTATCTTTAATTTTTGTCTTCTCTTATGTATGAAAATATTTAGATTTATTCTTTATATTTCTTCATTTAGTTTACATTTTTGTTTGTTTTTATAAGACAGGCATTGGCCTCATACCTGTGGTTGAGTGTTTTTTGTTCTATCAGTGGTCTGGCAAGGACCCAGCAAACGTATGGTGCACACGAAGCAGAAGTCCGTCACACAGAGCTGAGAATCCTCTTTTAGCACTGCCAGTCTACTTCCTGAGGATGTCACCAAGTGAATCCTTAATAAGTGAGTATTTAAAGTTGTGGCATCCATTTTCATGTATTTTGATATATCACTCAGATCCTTATCAATAGTAGAAAGATTAGCCAGGGTGGGACCAGAAAGAACAGTTTGCAAGGTAAAAGTTTACTTGGAAGAAGGAAAAATTAGCTCTGGAAGAGAAGTTAACCTGGATTGCCTGGAGGTTACTTGGGATAACTTCTGGAGGTTACCGCGCCCGCGGCAGGTACCAGACCGGGCCTCCTGGTTGCCGGCCTGATCAATTAAGTTGCTAGTGCTCGTAGTCCAACGTATGCACCACAACCCGTCTGATCATGAACTTTTAAAGGAATCTGTCGACTTCCTCCTTACACTTGTCGAGCTTTCTCTGTGTACTCTTCGCTTTCCTGCTTCTTATTGGAGGTATCTTGCACCATCTGCCAAGCCTTTTGTGTTCCTTA